TTCGTGTTCCCGTCTTCTTGCTGTTTTCAATTTCTAACTTGCGTGTGCTTTCGTAAAGCTTTACACTAGCAGCTGCATTCTTCTTGTAAACCATGGCAATCAGGTTTATGTATCTTTTCTTGCTTCCAACTCCTCAACGAATCCAGTACTAAAAGCATGTCGACTGAGTCGAAAGCCTTCTCGAAATTGATGAATCCCAGTCAGAGAGGAAGCTGATATTCGATGCGTGTTGTACGAACTGCTGATGATCCATCGTCCTTAACATTTTTCTGAATTCTGCTTCTTCCTTTGTTTGTGCATCATCCAGTTTTTCTTTAAGTCACCTGTTCTTGCACATCAGTATCTTCCTTAAAATCTTGTAGATGATCAGCAACTAGTAGCACTGCAGTTCATGAAATCCTGTCTCTCATTTCTGGAGAAGAATACCGATGCGTTAGCCCCTTCACACCTTGAGTTTTCAGTACCTCCAGATAAACGTGCTAATGCCTTGACCAGTGCTTTACGACCACATTCTATTGTAACGCAGATAACAGTCTTCGCCAGATGCCCTTCTTCGTTTTGAATTTCATCGCACATTGCACTTCTGGCAAGATATCTGGAATTTCTTTAGCTTCATTTGTACCTTCAAGTTCTTTACCGTCATCTATGGTGCTGCTGCTTTCACCTTTGTACAGTTTTCCGTACAGAACATCGTTGGTATTAAAATTTCTTATTAAAATTTTTAATCATTTTTAAAGTTTAAGCACCGATGTAACTTGGTTTCATCGATGGTGCTTCTCATCTACCAGTCAGACTAAGCACATGTTCACAGGGTGCTCAGTCAATGCGCGCAAAGCGTGAGACCAGTAGAACCATGTATGGAAACTCTGACATCCTGAGAGTATAAACCAGCTATTTCTATTTTTTCTACAAAAATAATCGCGCGATTTAACTTTCACAGTTGTATCACGGATTAACAATATATGCAGAATTTGGCCTTTAAGCATCCGTTATTAGTTTCGGGTAGCGAAAGCAGCTAATTAAAAAGGCCTTTCCAAAGACCGAATTCATCCGCCATCAAGTTAAACGATTATGCATACACTTCCCTTCAGCCTTTGAAAATTCGAGGCATGAGCACTAGATAGGGGGACACATTTAATTATCAAGAAAAACCTCCGCAGAAAGTGGAAAGGATGAACAAAAACGACAAAGGCATTCAAATTTATCAAAGCAAATGAAATACAAGAGCTGGACAGGTAAACATAGAACTGCTATAGGCTGCTGTTCAAGTACTTCAAGTACTCAAATCATCAGAGCGAGTCGATTTAGGGAGTCAGTCAGGTGTACGAGGAACCTTCCGGAGGTTGAATCAACCGTTGGTTTTCTTTGGTAGTCATTGTTCGACGAATATCTTCTAAGATGTGACGAATGGTGTAGCATTTCGACCACCGGGCTAACACAGATATGCGATGTCGATCGATCTTAAAATTAATAATATCGTCAATACAGCACCAGTAATAAGTTGGGAAGCAATAAATACAAAAGCATTAAGATAAATAGGGAGTACATGTAAAAGTTTGTACATCTGCTGTAACGACTGTACATTCTGTACAAATATGACCACTTTTCATAATTCTTCTTCAGCTGTCAAATATACTAGTTAGCTCTCTAATTTGACACTGACCAAAGAAACTTGTGATCAACAAAAATGGGCTTGTCGGTGACCCTGTGATGACGAAAACATAGTGCTATGACTCCGGTGTAACATCCAAGTCTTTTATACGAATAAAGTACTGTGCGGAACGCTCTCCCTTGAAAAACTTCGGGCATATTCTGCGTTGTGTGCTATGCTAAATACAACTCATTAAATAGACTGTCAGGTGAGTACAACAGTCGAACTAGTGTTCTACTGAGACAACGACTTTCATTTAATAGTACTGCTGCAAGATACATGCCACCAGTATTAAACAAACGGTAAAGAGTACAGTCAAAAATGGACACAGCCTTAAAAAACTGCGTAAAATGAAAGTTCGAAGGTACTTGTCAACATATCTTACCAAACTATTCCACTCACCGTCGTAACAACGTGACTTGCATCAGTCGGAATAATTTGTTGTCATTACGCATGAAGTATTGTTACTCGATGGCAGGGCTGACGGTGGATTGGTGAATTTTGTGCTGACAGGTACCTAAATTGCGTCCAGTTTTTTTTTATCGAAGTTTCCACTTCTAGCCCTTGACGAAAGACGTCTAACCGCAAGACAGAGCTAGTATTGGCGGTTTCTTTTCTTAAAACTGGTGAGTAACGTTCGCCTGGTCATGGGACTGAGGCATTCGACATTGTGCAAGTTTTACTAAGGAACGAATCTGGTGACCTCACTGATGCCTATCCGTGACTGCTTATTTTTCGCAACTAAATCCTCACATCTGCAGGTGATTGCCATATCCGAAACGCGGGGACGCGGCAAATGGTTATCGGCTAGGCAGGTAACCACGTATCGGTGTGAAACGGCGGATAGCAAGTTTACCCATTAATCGTGTCTCACCTGTCATCGACCGCATGGGATGCTACACACCATTGTATATGGTCTTTCAAAACAAACCGGTTCATCCACATTCAGATTTCTCTTAGCCATTATCTTTTCACTGTTATGCACTGTTTGATTTATCAGAGCTTCTGGCACGACCGTTTCCTCAAAAGTGTCCGTTGATGTTGTAATGGGTCTTATTGTGGTTATGCCAAGACAGTAAAGTGTGGTGTATCGATGGTGCATGGGATATGATGTCACAGCATCTTTGAGACTTTTGGTTGTTTATTGGTATTACTCAGATATGCTTGCTTCATGATCGTAACAAGTAGGATCGTGATGTTTAAATATGATATGACTAACAGCTCGAACAGTTCATCTAAAAGTTAGTGATTCCTAGCAGTTTAAAAACAATACTCTGACTTATCTTCCTACTTTGCACGCAGACTTGAGAGCAAGGTGAACTTCTGCAAAGATTAGTACTTTCATGGAGGATTCTGAGAGATTTGAAGGCATGTGGTAAATGGAATCTTT